TGTTGGCCAAATAAAAATACCAGCTGAACTTCATCACCTTATTTCAGACCTCATAACCATTTTTATTATGATTTAGTAATGACAGATGGAGTCATCTTGTAAACACGCTGCCCCTCCTGTCTCATTTACAATGCATTGTTTCCATTAATGGCCCATGAATGAAATGAGCAGCCTTTTTGTTTGCCTTTTGGAAAAGTATCTGGGTAGATGGGGTGTCCTGCTATCACCCTGAAGTGAAATGAGTCTTTGATACTGGACAGTTTTTGTTTTATTCTCATCTAAACACAGAGGGATGATAGCTCATATATGAGACTTCAAATGTCTTTTATTTTGAAACTGTACATCAGAATGTACTGATTTTTTCTGAGTGACTAGATGGGGTGTCCTGCGATCACCCTGGAGTGAGATGAGTCTTTGATACTGGACAGTTTTGTTTTATTCTCATCTAAACACAGAGGGATGATAGCTCATACAATAGAGATTTCAAAGGTCTTTTATTTTGAAAATCTACATCAGAATGTCCTGATTTTTTCTGAGTGACTAGATGGGGTGTCCTGATATCACCCTGGAGTGAGATGAGTCTTTGATACTGGACAGTTTTTGTTTTATTCTCATCTTAACACAGAGGGATGATAGCTCATATATGAGACTTCAAAGGTCTTTTATTTTGAAACTGTACATCAGAATGTCCTGATTTTTTCTGAGTGACTAGATGGGGTGTCCTGCTATCACTCTGGAGTGAGATGAGTCTTTGATACTGGACAGTTTTTGTTTTATTCTCATCTAAAAACAGAGGGATGATAGCTCATACAATAGATATTTCAAAGGTCTTTTATTTTGAAACTCCTTAAGTTTTACATTCACTCATTTATAATGTGGTAGTTATACGTAGTTTGTTTTAAATCATTATTGATCACATTATATAGTACATATTTCTTAATTTAATATGTTTGGTATGTTATTTTGGTGTATATGTTATTGACCGAGTAAGTGCTTTTATTTTGACGGCAGTGTTTCCAGGACTCTACCGTAATGCATAGGATATTCGCGCACCGCAATATCACGTGCGGGCTGGCTTGACTAGGTTTTCCCGAGTGGAGGAGGCTGGCTTGACCGCAGTCGTTACCTCATGATCAGCAAGTAAACACATGCTGCTAAGGCTTTGGTTTTCCACTCTGTGTGTGGACTGCTCTCATATGACAGAAAGGCAAATTAGTCACAAAGCTTTTTGAGCAACTTCCTGAGATTTACATACACATAGTTTTTTGCGGGTTAAAAATGTATTTTGGATAGAAATGTTGAGAGCTTTCGGTGTGCCACTGTATGTAAAGTATAGAGCACAGTGATGATGTCATTCATTCGCTCACTGAAGAGTGATGTGCTTATTTCCATTGAAACATCATGTTTAGACGAGAAGGTGACGTACTGCGGTGACCTAGATCCCTTTCATCAAATAACATTACCTTACAATCGCGTCTTTAATTATGCTGTATCCAAGGAGGGGTTTATCCAGGCCATCCATCCCTTGTTTCCAGTCTATATGCTTAGCTAAGCTAGGCTAAGCTAAGCTAAGGCAAAAAGACTGTCACATTTACTCAAATGTTGCATTATTGCTTAACAACAAAAGCTTAGTTTTTATAACTGTTTATATATTCAATGTAAATATTTGGGTATTGATACTCTTTGGTATTTATTTTCACTATCTCTGTAAAGGGACTTTGAGCACCTGTAAAAGCGCTAACAAAATACATCTATTATTATTATTATTATACTCTATTCCAGGTATTTCAGCACTGCTATCAACATTTGAGCATTACCTGGGACCACACAAACTCTGGCACAATTCAAAACATAACCAAACAATATTTAATAATTGTATGATATAAATATTAGTTTCTGTTTTATTTGCAAGGTCAACCTGCAAATCACATGTGACAAATCATGTACTTTCCTGCCAAGCATGCAGGACAACTATGCTTCCTTTTCTTTCAGTTATTCATGTTATTTGAGTTTAACACAATCAACATTTCCTGCAGTGGCAGGAGCAACATGACTTCCCCTGGCAGGGGGATACCCTGGCTGCTTGGGACCTCACTTCCTCCTTTGTGCCACTTCCTCCTTATGCTCTCTTGAAACACCCTTTTTTTATTTACTTTATTCAAATTTTCTTCACACTTTTTCTCCAAATGAATTCCTTTCTTATACAGAATATAGTTTTTAAAGAAACAATAACCCTCACAGCTGGCCTGTAGTTGAGGCAAAGCTAGAGTCAACACATTAGGTGATGCATACACTTAGCTGGGTAGTGACCTTATTTGTGTGAAATGTAACACCAGTGTGTGAGGCAATCATTGAGCCGCAATCATAAGAGGTCCCAGATTACAGATGGTTCAGCGTGGTGCAATTCTTCTACCTCTGTGGTTCTTGTTCACTCACTGTAGTCATTCTGTATTTGTGAAGCTGACTGGAATATACAGCTGGTTTGACAGGTGTTCTCACTCACAGGATTACAGGTATGTAAACAGAGGATAATGATAGTTGCTTGACATCGTTTCTTGTCTCTGTAGCACCTCTCAAGAATAGTTTGAAATATACAATAAGCATGCAAACTGATGTAAAAACTAATCTGTGAACTAAGATTGGTGAACAGAAGGAAAAGCAGAGCAATGTCCTCTAACTCAGTGGTTCCCAACCTTTTTTCCCAAGAGCCCCCCCAAATGACTCCTGTTGGAAGGGCTGCCCCCCCCACACACACACTCACGGGGGGGGGGCGCGCAACAGCGGTAATTAAAGTTTAAAAGTCTCAAAAATGCTACAACTACTGTCACAAACTGGATGAATGTGAAGTATTTTGTTAAAGGAGGATGAAAGCGTAATTAAGGAGCACTATTGGAGTGACTTTGATGGTTATTGGACTCAGGATTAATTCATTTGGATTCCCGCTGTATGAAGAAATTAAAGGACGGCACAAGTGGAAACAATTCACAAAGGGATTAAACTGTTTAAAACACATGCTCAAAGTAAGCCGGATTTTGCCGATGTGTTCAAAAGTCGGAAATAAGTCGGAGCAACTGTGACAAATAATCCAACTGAAACCGGCATGGACAATGACTATGTTTTTAAAAATGCGCTTATCCAGCAAAGCCTGATTTGGACACTTTATGGGCAGAAGAAACATTTCTATCAAAGAAAAAATTATACATTTTTGTATTTTTATGCCTTTAATAGCTACTAACTTGAATTTTTATTCAAATGAATTAATGAATTATTTTTTATATTGTATTGTAATGAAGAGACGAGGCTTTTAGTGACAATCATGTATTGAGTTACAATAATATGTAAACAAAAAAAAAAGTCTAAATATGATATTTGGCCTCAAATCATCTGAGGCCTGGCGCCCCCCCTGCGATCTTTGGCACCCCCCCTGCGATCTTTGGCGCCCCCCCTGCGATCTTTGGCGCCCCCCAGGTTGGGAACCGCTGCTCTAACTGGCTGGGTTGGATTCAACACCATCATTGTGTTGGGTTGGATGTATAATTTACTGCCGTATTTGGGTCCTGGTGTCAGTAGGGCGTGGCTCTTTGTGCTTTATTCCCACCACCTGAAAAGACTGGGCTGGGCTCTGAGGCACACTGGGCTCCACCTGGAGACCGCTGACTCAAAAATACTGAACTGCACGCACTGCTGCCTTTAAAAAAGGAGTTTACTTGGTACACTTTTTGTGAGTGTACAACAAAAAATGCATTTCTTTCACTTAATCCTCCAAGCAGAGTACACTTTGGAGTTGTGTGTTTAGGATTTATCTCATAATTTATCTGTGTTTTTGTTTAATAACTTTAATTTATTCAGTGTTATTCATATTATTAAAAGAGAACATAATGTGCTCTTATTGTTCACATTATAAAGATAATAACATCCATGAGTGTTTTCATTCATTGCTTTTGAGATCTTCAGATAATACATATAAAATAAAAGGGTAGACCCTGGTCCTAAATGCTTTGGTTTTGTATTGTTTTGTATAGTAACACATGCTAAATATAAAAATAAATGCTGTCTGCCAAAGTAGGGTGGAAAGTAAATGATGGACACTTAATCTGTTTCCACTTGTCTCTAATTGAATTTGTGGCTAGAAGTAAATGGAGTTATACCAAATTGTGATTTCCTTAAAAATAAGAAAGCTTACAGAACACGTCCAAGAATACATGTATTGTAAACTTTAACAATATTACAGAAGAATGGCTCTTGGGAAAATGTGACATTTGAAAAAATGACTAAGGTTAATACATCTTTTGTGTAGCATTTTAAAAATAAAATATGTCATGATTTCCTTTATATGGGTATCACCTGAGTTCAAATACTGTTTTTTGCAGCAATTACATGACTAGGTAAATTATCAGTAGATAAAATGTATCTTTAATATGATAACCTTTGTACCTGTACAGAAAATAGCATTGTCCACAGAAACTCAAATCTTATCAAAAGGAAATATAAGCTCCACTGACACCATTACATCATTTTTGTGACACATGTACAACCATGATTGGCCTCTTTAACGCCTGTTGTGAATTATCTGTGTGTTAACTTCACATGATGTGACTCCTGAATGATTTGACCTTGTTACTACAGTATGGTGACCTGCAGAAAACAATAATACTCGGCCTCTTTGCTTTCTGCCGTCAAACAACATCAACACCCTTCAGTCTGGAATACAGCGATTGAATCAACCACCTCTATGGATGTATATCTTTACCTCCATCATGTCACTGTTCCTGTGTTTATCTATCCTTCTCTTAAAAGACACAGTTTGAAGCTGTGTTGACACGCTTGTTTTCCTCCTCTATTCAGAAATGAATTGCATGGAATGTTTTGTTTCACCATAAATATTTGAAGTTGTGAAACTGAGATGTTGCTCTGTGTGAGTCTTGAAATGATTATGATGGTTTCTTCTTGTCAGATTTTAACTTATCTCTGTCTCTCTGTTTGTCTCTTTCTCTCTCCAGTCGCAGCCTAGCCGGGCCACACCCAAACTGGCCACCCAGGTCTCCACTGGGAAGCCTGCACAGTTCGAGGTATCACACATTCCTCTCTAACACCCTTTAACCTCTTCTCGCGCCGCTTATTCTTATTTCTCCTTGGAGAAATGTAAACTTCCTCTGTTCAATCAGCAGATGGACCGACCTCTGACCTGCTCATTATCTGGAAAATGTAACGAATTGTTAGATCCTTTTCCGGTTCCATGTTTTAGTAGTTTTAAATAGAGTGGAGGAATAAAACTGTGCCCTAAAAGCAATACAGTAGCAAGCAAGAAACACTTTCCTTTTCCTTCTATTCAAGCCAAAGAGAGGTAACGCCCAGTTTAACCCATTAATGCTGCTCCTAAACAATGGATCAAAGTGAGTGTTGCTTTGTGTTCAATGTGTAGCTGTTTTTCACATGTTACTAAATGTTGGCTTGAATAGAATAGATATACCTTAATGTTTGAGTTCAAAAGGCAGACATTTTTCTTAAGTTTGCATGTGCAAAATGTGCCATTTAAGAGGATAAATTAAAACACATTTAGTTATGAGACTCACTTTATGGAAGTGGGCTAATAAAATGATTTAAAGTAGGTTAATGAGGTACTCAGGAATTGTGACTATAAAGAAATTATACTTGTCTTACTTCAGTAGTACAGCTGTGAAACACAGGGCTTTCACTGAGTCCTTTGGCTAATCTTTAACTTCCTTAAGGCCAGACAGTTTGGACATGACAAATCAGCAGGGCCGGCCTGAAGAGTTTTCACTCGGCCTCCAACACTTTGACATCGTCTATTTTGGGAACTGGCTTTAGAGAAAGGCTTTGGTGGGATATTTGTAGTTTGAAAGTGGAAATAAAGTAGGTGTTGCAGTATTTAGAATAACACATTGTGAGACAATGGTAGGTTTTCAACCAAGTTATTTATAGAGTATTGTATTACTCGGGGATCAACCTTTAGCTTTTAAATGACTCTCGTTAGCAGCTGACCTCTGTGCCCCCTCCATACCTCTGCTCTGCCACAGTGGGGTTCAGCTGCTCATGTATCAGTGGCAGAGTGAAGTAGTGGCGCAGTGTATTTGCATACAGTAGAGACAGCCACTATGTAGGGTGCAACTTAAAGTGGCACTTCAGTGTTTGAATGTTGCACTTCCATAAAGACAAGAGAGTCATTTGAAGCCCCATTTTCATAATCTAAGCAGAAGAGGCAAAGATATCCTGACTTTAGTCTCCAGTATTCACCTTGTGGCCTGTTACATTTCTGGGTTTGTCTCCTAACTTCATGTTGCTAATGCTAACTAAGATATATTCCGTTTTAAAGTTGTGTCCTTATACGTTCATCTGGGGGTCCGTGTAGTATATGATTATAAGCCCATGTCACAGGAAACTGATCAAATGACCGTTGCCAGTAGTTTGTCCGACTGCTATCACCAGATCCTACATTTCCCACAATGCAACTGATAACATAGATTAGCTTGATGCTCCCTGCCTGGAAAACATCTAATTATGTAACACATCATTAGTGTTGTGTATAAGCCCAACCCGAGATACTCCCGAATACGTTGTGGCGATGTCATCATCAGTATTATTAATAATTAATCAGCTGCCTTTGGAGCCACAGAAAACATTAACAACCTTTCTTTACAGAAGTAGTATTAGTAAAATAAATAACATTGTGTGTAAAATCAGTGGATTGTCCCTTTTTACCAGTTATAGTAAGAGCAAGTGCCACAAACAAGCATCCATTGGCAAGGCAAGCATCCATTAAGCTGTGATAAAGGTAGATTATTTCCCATACGTCGTGCTTTGCAGAAGGCAGCGTCAGGATCCGCCATGCCTGGGGTTACCACAGCAACGGGTGGAGCCACTCGTAGTGGCATGACGGCGGGAGGAAGTGCTTCAGTTGGGACAGCAGGAAAAGCCAAAGCAGAGGTAGACGGGCCCTGGATGCCTAAATAAAAGTGGAGTTTTTTTTTGGCTGTTTGGTGTCACATAACAAGAACCCTCCCTCTACACGTCACTGGCTTCATCTTCTTTTCATCTTTGTGAAACATTGTTTACCTCCTCTCTGTTTGCGGTAACTCTCTCACATCTTGACCGTTCTGAGGCTGAACACTTGCTGTCTCACATTAATGAGCTCTCATATCATCATGCTTGGAAATGACTGAATAACTCTCCCATGCCTTTCTTTTAAACCTGTGCTCCTTGGTTTGTAGACTAACACTATGGCAGCTACTGTTATTGACATGTCGTCCGCTGGGTCTACCTTTGTTGACATGACATCAGCTGGGGCGAGGGCTGCTCCTAAAGAGATGCCTAAGGTAATGGTGTCCTCTGATCTGTGCTTTACTCTTTATTTACATTACTGCTGATCATTTGACTGATATATGTTCTACCAATTGGGTAGCAGCATGCAGGTATATATAAAAGTGTAGCAAGCTTAATAGTTTGATTGGTTTCAGATTGTAATATCTTGTAAACACACTTGGTTGTTGGTCAAGCCATGTGGGAAACTCCGACATACACAATGTGTCAGCTGCTTAAATCCAGCCTTTGTAAATCCACGTGATACACATGATTCTCAAGAAACCTGTGATTGCTTATTGTTACGATTGTTGCAAGGGATCCCCATAAGGGACATAAAAAAAAATCTTGTGATCAATTTTCTCTCTTGTGTTTATGACTTCAGAAAAGGTGAGAAACGTTTTGCAGGGATTTTCACTCTTCATTTCTTTGTCTGTGAAAACAACTTTAGACTGGTAAATGTCCTTCTTTTCCTTTTGTTGGGATCATTGTGTGTTTGGTGTTGTAATACTCATTTTGGCCACAATAGGCTAAAGTGCATCCCTACTTTTCCTCTTTTCTTAAAAATTAAATACAGGAGAAAAAAATCATATAGATCAGAAATCCGATTATTATCGAATTATTTTGGTGCCTCTCAGGGCTTCAATAAAAATACAAGACTAAGCAGCTGACTTCACATTTCTGTGTGAGTGATTTCGGAGTGTGGAAAAAGGTCAGCAGTGCTGTAAAATGTGTTTATTTTATATAATCTATTCTAAACCATGAAAAAGCACAATCATTTAACCAATAACATTGATCGATGGTCAGATTAGTCTCAGCAACCTTGCTCTAGTTGGACTACAGTGGCACTCTGACCAGAGATCAATGTGCATTTCCCCTGCTCTGTTTCCACTAACATGTCTTTCATACTTCTTTTAAATATGTTACAGGATTTATATTTATTAGTGCTGTGATTCTGTCCTCCTTGTGTTTTTGAGTAATCATTTGGCGACATGTTTGTAGACTGCTGCCGTCTCCCAAGTCAAAGCTACGGTTACCTCTCCTGCCGCTGGCTTCACTGCAGTGACCAAACCTAAAGAGTCTCCCAAAGGCTCAGCTAAGGTAGACTCCACTGCTCCTCAGACTCTGTAACCTGACTGCCTGGAGGTTTACTTTCAAAGCTTTCCTTCTGCAACATCTCTGTGGGGCGATCTTATCAGGTTTTTGTTCCTGTCTTTACCTGGGAACACTCTGGCTTTGGATATTACTCACTTTTGGAGTTTCTTCCTTTTTACCATCCAAAAAGGACTTTTGTTCATTCCTTCTGCAGTCCTTTGCTCAGCATGCCTACACTTGTTATTGTATTTGAAAATATTGCACATCTTGCCCACTTGCAACACCAAACGAACACAGTTTGTTGTCTTGTCCTTTCGCTCTACTTCATTGCACAAACTTCTGAACTAATGTCTCATCAAAATGCTGAAGGACTTCTGCTGGAGACAGTCCATCGCTGTCCTCTGTTTTATTGGTTTCTTTGGGGATATATTCAACTTTGTACACACTTTGTATACAGTCGATCTATAGTTTTACATCACATGTACTTGGCTTATAATAGATTGCAATGTATTGTATTTTAGAGTGCAACTGCGACCACAACAGTCAAGGCCGAGGTGCCTAAAGTTGATACGGCTAGACCATCAAAGCCAACTGCAACGGCTGGAAATGTGTCTGTGCAGGGGAAGAAAGAAGTGACAGAAATCAAGGTAGACGATCCTGGATAAACTTTGGTGGAAGCTATCTGAATTTTAGTTGGTGTATTTTCTGTCAGTACAATATTAGAGGATATGTTGTATTAAATATTTTCATGGTGGTCTGACAGAATAGACTTCATAGCCTTGTGAGACTTTTCATTGGTGTCAAACTTTGGGATTTATTTTCTTTCTGGACTATATTATCATGAGGAAAAGTGACGTTTCATCTGCTGCGATTTATCAATTTGCAACAACTTACTCCTGCAGTTGAGTCTCCATTAAGCTAACAACATCTGTGTGTTGCGTGCTTTATTTTGTTTCAATCTGTGTACTGATTCTCAATCTTCGCTGCAGGTGCAGGCGGAGATCCCTCCGGCAGCAGCTAAAGGAGCCAAAGAGGTAGATACTTACTGACGCAGTAAGAGGTTGATTTGAAAAGCATGGTGCTTGCTGCAGTGTGCTGAATTGTGTTGCATGTGCAGGTTGATCCATTCGATGCCCTGGCCAACATACTGCCATCAGTTGGTCCTGCACCCGTCCTGCCTGTATACACGGGGCCAGAGGTCGTGGAGGTATAGCTCGTGTGTGTGTATATAATCTGAGCAGGTGTATGATAACACGAAGCTGCAGCATGGCTCTGCTTTGAGTAACTGTGTTGCATGTGTCACAGCATAACATCATCTCCGAGACGGGTCTGAAATGCGGAGAAAGAGACAGCACGCTGCCTCCAGGCTACAGATTTGATGATATGGTCAGTTGTCCCATCCTCTTCATCACGTCTTCTGGTTTACTAATAAGCTTGTGATTATCTAGAGTAATGGAGACAATGCTGTAAGCAGCCAAACAGAACTCAAATCCCCTTGATTGAATTGGGCAGAGATGATAAGGGTCAAACATTGTACATTTTTGGTTACGAAATATGCATTATGCACTTTCAAAAAACTATCAAGAAATCAGAGATGGTATCAAAAGTTTCATAATCTGGTTTACTCATTCTAAAATGAAAAAGCTCCAGGCCTCCCTCTGAGTATCTCATCTACAGTTTGAGAAATATCTTTGCAATTTCCCCCATCAACACATCAGAGCAGATTGGGATTTTATTGGATGGAGTCTTAAAGAGTTGGGCGCTAAAACTGAGCGTTTCAGGCAGAGGGTGTGGGGGAAACTTCTGAAGCAATTGGAGTCAGGACTCAGAGAGACACGAGGAGAGCTGGAGCTTTGATGGCAAACACTGACGGTTTATTTGGAGCTTCGGCCGGAGAATTCACAAGACATGTCACGGTTTGACCACACGGTTGAGATGCCACAATCAATTCTGAGGAACTCTTCTGTAGTTCGAGGTTTTAACTAGTTCGTAGTGTAATAATCAACATTCTTCATCAGCGAGACTAAACAAATATGGACCCTGAATCTAACTAGAGCTCTCGTCCATAGAAAATAATGTGCGCCAGGGAACCTACCTTCCTAAAAAGAAGGGCTTCTAGATGTCCCTGAACAATAAACTATCTCATGGCGGCTTGTGCTCTGTCATAGACTGGCAACAACAATGCGCCCAAGCTGCTCCTCCTTCAGAGAGATAGCAGCAATACCCACGGCCGTAGACCTATGCCGTGGGAAAGGAGACAGTAAAGAGAAAAAATTATGAGCTGTGTCAAATGTTGAATACCTAAGCAAAGTATTCCCTAACAGAGGGTGAATACAGCTATAATAATATGGACGGTAAAAGGAAAATAATTTTATTATAGCATGTTGATATGTGACCTCGAAATAAACATAATATTATACCTTTTTAAATACATTTGATTTATTTTACCTTATTTTATCCAGCCAACGAAAGTCATGTAACATATTGGCAAACGTATTGCATTTTAAATTTAAATGATATTCACCCCGAGAGGCCGAGATTTAAAATACTAAGCACATAAAATCAAAACAATCTGAGGACCATTTGATCATTTCAGAGGATTTTTTTGTTTGGAGAACTGAACCTTTAAGTCAGTAAATATTGACTCCCGGAGTTATGTCAGAATTTACATTTTTATCTTCCAATCTAATATGAATTCTGTTTTTCTTCTAGCCTCCAGTTCCTGCAGATTACAAGCCAAAGGATGTTCCTGTAAGTGAATCTTTTCTAACTCATATTTAGTGGAGTCACAACGTCCTGCATTACGCACATTTTGTTACAGATCAGACATAGACTCATGTAAACTTCTCCAACATATCTAAGCAAATGAGTAAACACTTACGTTGCACACACATTCAGGAAGCCCTGGGTTGCGTTCCGATAATCCAAAAATCAGCTCCTAAATTCTAACCCTATCTCCTATTCCTTGACCTCTGAGTGAAACGTCACGGGGTTAAGGGATAGTGGATAGGAGAATTCAAAAGGATTTAGGAGAAGAGACTGCGGTATTTTAGAGAATCCGACTGCACTTTCACTATCCGACGTTTTTATGATGCGCCAGTGGACAACAGAGAAACATATTCTTCATGACCAAAGTTGGAATTGAAATAAAAAAGGAAAGTGAAACTTATGCTCGTCACCCTCTCCCTCCGGTCCACATTAATACAAATGATCCCAATACGTATGATTGTATGAACTATGAAAATATCTTAAAATAAATGTATTTATTATAAACGTTAGTCCTTAACATCTATCACTGTGTATATCACCATTCAAACATCTTTTAAAAGTTGAACAAACTCCACACAGCTCAGTAAAGACTGTGAGATGTTGACTTTATTTGATCATTTCAGTAAAAACTAACGTTCATATTTCTCTTTTTGATTATAATACTGATGAACGTTCAAAACAAAGCACTTTGGCAACTTACCACATACGTTTTAAAATGCTTAATAAGCACCATAACTTTCATGATATAATTTCTCGGTCATAATCGGTTGTTTCCGTGAACGGCCGACTGTTGTGTGACGCAAATGCTGCGGCTGCAATGCATTGTGGGGCAGCATTTTCTCCTCTCCTTTCGGTTAGGGAGGTCCAGTGGTTCCTAAGCTAAAGGAGGTTATAAAGGAAGTTTGAAACCTCCTTTCCTATCATCTAGAGAATTCGAACGGCTCTTATCATGGCTGCCACTGAGGGACTTCCGGGTCATTTCACTCGGTTAGGAAGGTTCCTAAGCTAAATGGACTATTCGACTGCAGCCCTGTTTCCACTGTATGATCTCCTGGTTCCTCTAGAGTGGGGAATGTTGCATTAAATGGCGGGTGTTGTCTCAGCAAACAGCTCAGACCCACCTTCTCTATTCAAGCTCGTTGATTCTTGTCCGACCAAACCCAAACACGCACGACAGCTCACACACTGATACATCTGTCACACACTTTGATATCCGCCCATATGGAGGTTACTATTTACACACTATCAACACACCCAGTCTTGCATCACAGCGTACTCCCACTTCGCATTTCATATTGCCAGAGGCTTCTTTAGCTGTGTGTTTCATGATCAGTTCTCAGCAAGATACTTTCCTCCAATGTGAGTTTTGTGTTTTTAGTGTAAATGTTTATCATATTTGATGCTAAATCAAAACAGTTGTATGTGTCACAAGTGGGTTTTTCATTATTAGTCTCCATGGAATGCAAAGGGTGTGTCTGTACTTTTCCTTCCCACTCTGTTGGTCTGGTTTTTATTATTTTGCTCTTTTGTTTGCATTTGACTTGGCGAGGCATGCCCTCTAGTGGAGGATCATGTGACTGATAGACTATCATTTGGAGCTATTCCACTATTTTAAAGAATCTTGCCGGTATTGTGTTGTTCTTTGGTTGTGATGCATTGTCTGTTTTCCATTTTAGAAACCACTGAGCACGGACGAGGCCCTGGACTCTCTTTCATTTGGATTTACGTCTCCAGCCGCTCCAGCTGCACCCAAGAAGCAAGAGGTCAGAGTCTTTAAACACGTAGCACTCAGCTGCTAGTCCATTCTCCACCTTTACACCTCGTTGCCTAAATGGCAAAAGTCTGTAACTAAAATTCCCAGTTTGCCATGTCTGCTGTGGACAGTATCAATTGAAGACTTTGTGCTTTTTAGGCAGTCCAACAAATTGCTCTTTTGTTAATGAAATATGCATACAAAATATGGAGGTGTGTGGAGCAGTGGATAGAGCCTTGGTACAGGTTCAAACCCCACTGCAGTCAGCATGTCGTTGTGTCCCTGGGTCCCCAAATTGCTCCTGTGGGGATTGTCCACAGTATTGAGTATGTAAGTCGCTTTGGATAAAAGCGTCTAACAAGTAACATGTAATGTAATGTAATAAAAATGACTTTATTGACAGCGTCAGCCTCATCTGCTGGTCCTGCTAACTTTGCGCCACATCCTGTAAAATTAACTTTGAAGTCTCTGTTTGAAAGAACAAAGACTTCTATTGTCTAATGCTGTGTCTCTGTTGCAGGTAATGACTGAAATGTCTGCAACAGTTCCTACTGTGTCTGTATGTCCTCCTCCAGCTGATAAAAAAGCCAAGATGGAGAAGGATGATTTCTCCCTGGAGTCTTGCCTTCCTGCCGCTACTGCCACGGTACAGCATGTTCACACCTGCTTTTCTTTCTTCTTGACCGGTCAGAAAGGTTGTTGTTCTTCAATGTTGTCTTTGTCGGATTTGATAGAAAGCAGCTCCTCCTGTGTCTTCATGGAAAGCTCCTCCTGCTGATAAAACAACCAAGAAAGTGGACACCAAGCCCAAGACGGATGGGGTAAGATTAACAGGAGTTAATGTGGATCGTTTGAAACCATGTCCCTTCTTCTTATGTCGTAAAGGGACATTTAAGTAGATTCATAACTTTCCTCTCTGTTTCTCTCCCCAGGGTGACTCTATGTCACTAGATGCTCTCAGCGCTCTCGTTGACACGCTTCCAGAAGATTTACCAAAACCTGATCTCCCTGAACTCAGACCTGAGGACATCATCTCGGTAGGAGCACAAGCAGCAACACAGCCTCGTCCTCATATTATCTCTGACTCTCTAATAAACAGTACAGTCAAGACACAATTGTATCTCCTCCCAGATGCAGTTTCTTAAACACAGACAACACAACAATGCCCTTTTTCCTATTGTTTTCCTTTTACAGGAGGGCAAACACAAGAAGGAGAAGGGTGTGTTTGTAGGAGAGAGGGATGACTCAATTGCTCCAGAATACAGGTTTAAGAAGGAGGACCTCAAAAAAGTGCCTGCTCTAAAACCTGAGGTGAGAGTGGGAAGATGTTGCCGTTGAGGCCTTTAAAGTATAAATGTGATATGAATACAGTGAACGCAGAATATTTATTTACAATATATTTTTGCATTGTCCCCCTCACTCACAGCCCGCCTTGGGTACTGCTGATGCTCTGGACTTTTTGTCTGGAGACTTCATGGACTCCTCATCAGCTCCTCCTGCACAGGTACAGTGTGGATATCTCACACATGCATATGTTTTGAGTAAAGTAGTGTACAAATATTGCAGGAATACAGTATCTTACATTATCTCTTTAAAGTGGTCTTTGTTGGTTGTTGCAGAAAGCCCCTGTTGTGGCTGTGTGTCCTCCTGCTAACAAATTCATGCAGGAGAAAATCCCTGATGATTTCTCTCTGGAGGCTGCAACTGCCACGGTACAGCACACTCACATATCTCTGATCCAGTGTAATGTTGATCATCTTCGTTCATCAAGGATACAAGACAAAGAAAAAGAGGATTGTTATGACTCAGACTTTGGCTCATTTGTACTTTTTTGAAAGTATCAAAGTGTTCCCCATGCAAACAGAAACTAGAAGCAATAAGGCAGCATGCAGATTGGCAAAAAACAGCTTTGTTGTACTCTGGCCCAGTGGCTCTTGGAGATAACATCATGCTCACAATAGAAACGCTAAAATGCTGTTATCAAGCAGGTATAACAATTCTGTAATAATTCACCCAGCCAATTACTCAACCTGTGATACCTTGAATTAATGAAGACAAATATTTTCTCTCAAGCCTTTAAGGTTTGATGCATATAACTATATGGGGGCAACAGCAAAAATATCTAAACATCTATTTCCAAACTCTCAAACTAATTGTGCACTTTAGAGGTATCATTTAATTCTCATTACTTCACAAACACATGCATTTTCTCTAAAATGTCATATTTAATACACTTCTAAACACTCTCAAGCTTACATAGTGCTACTTATCCGTTCAAATCCGAAATGTATTCATTTTCAAGGTTTTAATGAAAATGTACAGTTGAGGTTGATGATATTTTGTTTTCGAAGTATTTGAGGAAATATAAATGATAATGAACTTCTGATGTCCTAAATAGAAAAATTAAGAGATTATTTGGGATTTTTTACAGAATGTTGTGCAATCCAGTTGATATTGAGATATTTGTCAGAATCAGGTAAACCTTTGACCTGCTGCTTGCACAACAACAAAACGTCAGGGGTTCACCAAACATCCATAGAGTCATGGTGTTAGCATTGCCAAAAACACACAGGTTTAGAACGTTTTTTGGGTTAATGTTTGAGTTAACTGTCGATGTAGGCCACACCCACTGCTGGAACACATTTGACCCCAGTTATCTTTGTGTAATAAACCAATACATTAATACAAAGTTTGATTTCACCCCTTTTGTCTGGTGTAGAAAGTGGAGTCCAATTTTGCCGTGTGTCGCGGTCCTCCTGCTGGTAAGAAAGCCGAAGTAGAGAAAACCGCTGCCGGAAAGGACAAGCTCAAGAGTGGTCAGGTGAGAGAAAAATAAATGTTCCCCCTTAATTCATTTCCATCTTTTGTGTTTTTCCAAGTCGCCTTTTGTGTGCTAGAGACCTTTTGCTTTGATATTTAAATTGTGTATGAGAGATCAATAAAGCACAATCTCTGTTTTTTCCTCAGGGTGACTCCTTCTCTCTGGATGCTCTCAGCGCTCTCAGTGACACGCTGCCAGCGGACATGCCAAAACCTGAACTTCCCGAAGTCAGACCTGAGGACATCGTCTCGGTAGGAGCACAAACACTCTCAGAGCTCGCAGCCTTGAGGACACCTTCTGCTGTTGGCATATCGGTAGCATTTGTGTCAGTTTCTCACAGAAAGACTCAACAGGCATTATTATCTCCTCAACTTTTTTTTTTAGGAGGGCAAACACAAGAAGGAGAAGGGTGTATTTGTAGGAGAGAGGGAAGACTCAATTGCTCCAGGATACAGGTTTAATAAGGAGGAACACAAAAAGCTGCCTGTTCCTAAACCTGAGGTGAGACTGAGTCAAATGTGGTTTACGGCTCTTATAGTTTCACCGTAATGTGATGAGTATGTTATTAATACATATTTTGTCTTTCCTTCCTATGTTTCCCTCCTCCCCTCCACATGCAGCCCACCATGGGTACTGCTGATGCTCTGGACTTTTTGTCTGGAGGCTTCTCGGATTCCTCATCAGCTCCTCCTGCACAGGTACAGTGTGGATCTGTTACTGTTAAGAGCAGACACTAATATAAGAATATGACAGATTATCTCTTCAACTGTCAACTCTTTCGGCCACTGCAGTTTCACCTGTGGCTACAGTATATGACCTAAGCAATAAAGCAGCATGCAGATTTGTGACACTCTGCCGTCCTGCTTGCGGCTTTGTGAAACTGTAGTTTGGAACAGTGGCTCTTGCGGCTAAATGCTAACATTTGCTTGTAAACATGCTCACCGTGACAACACAAACATGGAAGCATTCTACCATGATTAACACAAGCTGAATTATATTCCCTATTCAGTCATAAACCAAAGAATTGGGCACATTGACATTTTGACCGGATGATTACCAGCTTAAGAAGCAAACATACACAGCTACAGATAGAAATTGATATAAAGTGTAATGTCATCCGTGTTGTCTGGTGTAGAAACTTGAGCCCACTTTGGTTATGTGTGAGAGACCTCCACCTGCTGTCAAGGCGCCTCTCGACACCCCTGTTCCTTTTCCTGTAAAGGTACACTTTGGATCTGTTATTGTTAGGCAACAAATAAAAAAAAAATACATTTTCTTTTCACATATAAAAGTAAAATAAAATAAGAGTTTACAGTCATACTAGCGACTGTGGTCACTTTAGTACTCACTTTACTCTGAGAGGCTATATGTTGAAACACTGGCTCTGAGCTAAATGCTAACTTTGCCATGCTAACACACTCACAATGCTAACATGATGTTTATAATTGCTTCTGGGCATATCCGGTGTCCTAGTTTAGCATGTTAGCATAATACCATTTGCTTATCATCAGAAAATACAGCTGAAACTGATCATGATATACATATTTAATCACAGACCAAGATTTGGACAAATTACAATTTTGACCTGATGAATCTGTAAAAAGACAATGAATACAGCAACAGAACACCATTAATATGAGGCTTGATGTCATCCCTGTTGTCTGGTATAGCCAATTGATTACAAACCGGTTGTGTGTTACGGACCTGAACCTACTCTCATGGCTCCTCGTAGTGAAACTCCTGTTCCTCTTACTGCAGAGGTACAGTGTGAAACTACTACACTTAACAGCGGACAATTTATGAATACCACTTAAACACTGTAGCCATTATCCCTTTAAAGAGTCTACACCCATACTACAGGCTCAGTGAGGCTGTAGTTTTAAACACTGGCTCTCAGAGCTACATTTGCTAACTTTGCCATGCTAAAAAACATCATGTTAGCATTGTTAAGGTGAGTATGTTAACATACTCACCTTAACAATGCTAACATGATGTTTACAGTATAATGCCCACTGGGCATATTCACTGCCCTAGTTGAGCATGTCAGCATTCTACCATTTGCTTATCATCACAAAGTATGGCTGAAACTTTTTAATCACAAGTCAAGATTTTGACAAATTGCAATTTTGACCTGATGAGGACCAGCTTAAGAAGCAAACATACACAGCTACTGATGGAAATTGATATAAAGTGTAATGTCATCCCTGTTATCTGGTATAGAAACTTGAGCCCACTTGGGTGTGTGAGAGACCTTACACACGTCCTGTCATGGCTCCTCTCGACACCCCTGTTCGTCTTCCTGTACAGGTACACTTAGGATCTGTTAAACAATAACAGTATATATTTTCTTTTCACATGTAAAACCTAAAATAAAATAAGAGTTTACAGTCACACTAGCGGCTGTATGGTAATTTAGTACTCACTTTACTCTGTGAGGCTGTATTTTGGATCACTGGCTCTCAGAGCTAAATGCTAACTTTGCCATACTAACATAATCACCTTAACAACGCTAACATGATGTTTATAATGCCACCTCAACTGTCCTAGTTTAGCATGTTAGCATAATACCATTTGCTTATCATCAGAAAATACAGCTGAGACTGATAATGATATCCATATTTAATTACAGACCAAGATTTGGACAAATTACAATTTTGACCACCTGATGAATCTGTAAAAAGACAATGAATACAGCAACAGAACACCATTAGTATGAGGCTTGATGTCATCCCTGTTGTCTGGTATAGCCAATTGATTACAAACCGGTTGTGTGTTACGGACCTCCACCTGCTGTCATGGCTCCTGTCCACACTCCTGTTCCTGCAGTGGTACAGTGTGAAACACTTATCAGCGGACATACATGAAAATTAAAGAAAATTAAAATAATCTGTTACCCCTTCAAAGAGTCTACAGTCATACTAGCGATTCAGTGAGGCTGTAGCTTTGAACACTGTCTCTCAGAGCTCATTGCTAACATCCCATGCTAAATTCCTCTATATGATGTTTATGCCTTTTTGGCATATCCACAGAGTTAATTTTTATGTTTGCATTCTCATATTTGCTTATGCACAAAGAACAGCTGAGGCTGATGATGATATGAAAAGTCAGTGACAAACCAAAGATTTGGACAAATTAGAATTTTGACCCGATGATTATGTAAAATAACAACAAATACAGCTACTGAAATCCATTATTATGACGTTTGATGTCATCTCTGTTGTCTGGTGTAGAAAATTGAGCACACTTTGGTTGTGTGTAAGGGCCCTCCACCTGCTGTCATGGCTCCTGCTCTTCCTGTACAGCACATGAGTCAAACTCAAGGCCCGGGGGCCAAATCAGGCCAGTGGTGGATTTAATTTCGGCCCGCAGGATAATTTCTAATTACTATTAGATCTGGCGCGCCGGTATATTGCACGCACACCTTCACTCCATCCTGAGGGTTTCCTTTGCTCAGAGCCTGAGCCCAAACATTGATGAACTTGCACCCAAGATGAGATGCCAAGTATCTGGCTTGAACTAGCATCATAGAGCAGCAAACTGAGTTTCAATAGATGTTTCCTTCTGCACTTTCTTTCTTGAGACAGCAGGGCATGTTTGATTTTTTTCTTTGAGGGAAATATTTTTTTTGAAGCTATTTTGTCTTTCCTTCCTATGTTTCCCTCCTCCCCTCCACATGCAGCCCACCATGGGTACTGCTGATGCTCTGGACTTTTTGTCTGGAGGCTTCTCGGATTCCTCATCAGCTCCTCCTGCACAGGTACAGTGTGGATCTGTTACTGTTAAGAGCAGACACTAATATAAAAATATGACAGATTATCTCTTCAACTGTTAACTCTTTCGGCCACTGCAGTTTCACCTGTGGCTACAGTATATGACCTAAGCAATAAAGCAGCATGCAGATTTGTGACACTCTGCCGTCCTGCTTGCGGCTTTGTGAAACTGTAGTTTGGAACAGTGGCTCTTGCGGCTAAATGCTAACATTTGCTTGTAAACATGCTCACCGTGACAACACAAACATGGAAGCATTCTACCATGATTAACACAAGCTGAATTATATTCCCTATTCAGTCATAAACCAAAGAATTGGGCACATTGACATTTTGACCGGATGATTACCAGCTTAAGAAGCAAACATACACAGCTACAGATAGAAATTGATATAAAGTGTAATGTCATCCGTGTTGTCTGGTGTAGAAACTTGAGCCCACTTTGGTTATGTGTGAGAGACCTCCACCTGCTGTCAAGGCGCCTCTCGACACCCCTGTTCCTTTTCCTGTAAAGGTACACTTTGGATCTGTTATTGTTAGGCAAAAAATAAAAACAAAATACATTTTCTTTTCACATATAAAAGTAAAATAAAATAAGAGTTTACAGTCATACTAGCGACTGTGGTCACTTTAGTATTCACTTTACTCTGAGATGTTGAAACACTGTTCAACACTGTTGAAACACTGGCTCTCAGAGCTAAATGCTAACTTTGCCATGCTAACACACTCACAATGCTAACATGATGTTTATAATTGCTTCTGGGCATATCCGGTGTCCTAGTTTAGCATGTTAGCATAATACCATTTGCTTATCATCAGAAAATACAGCTGAAACTGATAATGATATCCATATTTAATCACAGACCAAGATTTGGACAAATTACAATTTTGACCTGATGAATCTGTAAAAAGACAATGAATACAGCAACAGAACACCATTAATATGAGGCTTGATGTCATCTCTGTTGTCTGGTATAGCCAATTGATTACAAACCGGTTGTGTGTTACGGACCTGAACCTACTCTCATGGCTCCTCGTAGTGAAACTCCTGTTCCTCTTACTGCAGAGGTACAGTGTGAAACTACTACACTTAACAGCGGACAATTTATGAATACCACTTAAACACTGTATCCACTATCCCTTTAAAGAGTCTACACCCATACTACAGGCTCAGTGAGGCTGTAGTTTTAAACACTGGCTCTCAGAGCTACATTTGCTAACTTTGCCATGCTAAAAAACATCATGTTAGCATTGTTAAGGTGAGTATGTTAACATACTCACCTTAACAATGCTAACATGATGTTTACAGTATAATGCCCACTGGGCATATTCACTGCCCTAGTTGAGCATGTCAGCATTCTACCATTTGCTTATCATCACAAAGTATGGCTGAAACTTTTTAATCACAAGTCAAGATTTTGACAAATTGCAATTTTGACCTGATGAGGACCAGCTTAAGAAGCAAACATACACAGCTACTGATGGAAATTGATATAAAGTGTAATGTCATCCCTGTTATCTGGTATAGAAACTTGAGCCCACTTGGATGTGTGAGAGACCTTACACACGTCCTGTCATGGCTCCTCTCGACACCCCTGTTCGTCTTCCTGTACAGGTACACTTAGGATCTGTTAAACAATAACAGTATATATTTTCTTTTCACATGTAAAACCTAAAATAAAATAAGAGTTTACAGTCACACTAGCGGCTGTATGGTAATTTAGTACTCACTTTACTCTGTGAGGCTGTATTTTGGATCACTGGCTCTCAGAGCTAAATGCTAACTTTGCCATACTAACATAATCACATTAACAACGCTAACATGATGTTTATAATGCCACCTCAACTGTCCTAGTTTAGCATGTTAGCATAATACCATTTGCTTATCATCAGAAAATACAGCTGAGACTGATAATGATATCCATATTTAATCACAGACCAAGATTTGGACAAATTACAATTTTGACCACCTGATGAATCTGTAAAAAGACAATGAATACAGCAACAGAACACCATTAGTATGAGGCTTGATGTCATCCCTGTTGTCTGGTATAGCCAATTGATTACAAACCGGTTGTGTGTTACGGACCTCCACCTGCTGTCATGGCTCCTGTCCACACTCCTGTTCCTGCAGTGTGAAACACTTATCAGCGGACATACATGAAAATTAAAGAAAATTAAAATAATCTGTTATCCCTTCAAAGAGTCTACAGTCATACTAGCGATTCAGTGAGGCTGTAGCTTTGAACACTGTCTCTCAGAGCTCATTGCTAACATCCCATGCTAAATTCCTCTATATGATGTTTATGCCTTTTTGGCATATCCACAGAGTTAATTTTTATGAAATCCATTATTATGACGTTTGATGTCATCTCTGTTGTCTGGTGTAGAAAATTGAGCACACTTTGGTTGTGTGTAAGGGCCCTCCACCTGCTGTCATGGCTCCTGCTCTTCCTGTACAGCACATGTGTCAAACTCAAGGCCCGGGGGCCAAATCAGGCCAGTGGTGGATTTAATTTCGGCTCGCAGGATAATTTCTAATTACTATTAGATCTGGCGCGCCGGTATATTGCACGCACACCTTCACTCCATCCTGAGGGTTTCCTTCGCTCAGAGCCTGAGCCCAAACATTGATGAACTTGCACCCAAGATGAGATGCCAAGTATCTGGCTTGAACTAGCATCATAGAGCAGCAAACTGAGTTTCAATAGATGTTTCCTTCTGCACTTTCTTTCTTGAGACAACAGGGCATGTTTGATTTTTTCTTTGAGGGAAATATTTTTTTTGAAGCTGTTGTTGGCCTGTGGAAAAATGTAATCATAAGAAATGACTCCGGAAAAGCTGCAGATAGAGCCATAAGAAATGAATGCAACTGATTATTTAATGTTGATGTTATAGGCAATAATGTAGGCTTTGTTAGTTCCAGGTTTAATATGTGCAATAAGTTTATTTCAAAAAGTTTTACAATAAACATTGAACCAGTCCGGCCTTCGACTAGTAGCCTACCGATTTTTTTTATTTTGGCCCACTTTGTATTTGAGTTTGACACCCCTGCTCTACAGCTACAGTGTGGATCTGTTACTGTGACAGGCAGAACAAATTACGAGTTGTACAAGAAATACATTATCACGCTTTCTTTTCAACTGCTGTCAGTGTTGGTTGGTTTAGAAAGCCAACGTACTTTCTTTTGATGCGGTGTGTCCTCAGCAAGTCAACTGGGCGACCACAGTTCTTCCAGACTGGCCAAATCACTTTTTCATATTTATACGTTTTATCCATTAAGGATAAAAGTTCATGTCGTGAACTGGATGTCCATGCATTTGGACATCATCAAAAAACTACCAGTAGAGCAGCATGTAGATTAGCTACAGTCATGCTCCCAGCTCTGTGAGACTGTAATTCGGCACAGTGACTCTTTGAGCTAAATGCTAACATCAGCATGATAACATGCACACCTTAACAACGCTAACATGATGTTTATAATGCATGTCAGCATTCTCCCAATTGCTTATTAACACAAAGAAGAGACCAGGCTGATAATGACATTACTGATCAAACTGGACATATTTCAATTTTTAAATTGATGATGGCGTAATATGAAAACAGATACATCTACTGATAGCCATTCATGTAAAGTTTGATGTCAACGCTCCTCGTGCAGACACATGAGCACACATTGGGTGTGAGGGCCCTCCACTTGTATTCATCGATCCTGTCATGTATACAGAAACTGTAGGGTTTGTAGCATTTTGTGGTAAAAAGTCATACAAAAAGAATGATACCAATCTCACCAATATGTTTGCTTTGTCGTTGCTGAAAGCTGTGGTCTTTATTTTTCAGACCAAAGTAGAGGACTTGTCAGCTCTGGATATGCTTTCTGAAGACTTTGTGTCTACAACCAAAGCTTCTGGAGTTCAGGCACCTGCCCCTCCTGCAACCAAGAAAAAGACACCAGAGGTAAAGCTGTGTGTGTGTGTGTGTGTGTGTGTGTGTGTGTGGTGTGTGTGTGTGTGTGTGTGTGTGTGTGTGTGTGTGTGTGTGGTGTGTGTGTGTGTGTGTGTGTGTGTGTGTGTGTGTGTGTGTGTGTGTGTGTGTGTGTGTGTGTGTGTGTGTGTGTGTGTGTGTGTGTGTGTGTGTGTGTGTGTGTGTGTGTGTGTGTGTGTGTGTGTGTGTGTGTGTGTGTGTGTGTGTGTGTGTGTGTTTTATATGACAAATTGAAATGATTTTGTATCGCGGGGTCTTTTGTGCCTGTCCTTGGGTCACCCCACGGCTTCACCTACATGTCCTAAAGTATGTCCCTGTGTTCCTGTAGAGAACGGTTTGTCCTCTGGAGCGCCCTAACAAAGTTGACGTCATCCATGTACAACCACGAGAGCCAAAACCCAAGACTGATAAGGTATTGCTTCTATTACTACAATGCATATTTTTATATATGCGTCTAAACTGCATACAAAGTAAAATAAATTGTATCTTCTTTTACTTATCTCACTATTTTTTTTACGACAGTCTCATTATATTCCTCTTCTCCTTGTCTCCTCAGGGTGACTCCTTCTCTCTGGATGCTCTCAGTGCTCTCAGTGACACGCTGCCAAAAGACCTCCCTAAACCTGAACTCTCCAAACTCAGACCTGAGGACATCATCTCGGTATGGGACACTCACAGACACACAATCACTCCCATTAAAAAAACTCAAACTGTGGTTTTTGCTTCACTTATTCCACACGATTGTGTTCCCTTATCATGTGTTACATGATCAATGGTAGATATAGTAGGGGTCAACAGATGTACGTTTTTTGAAAGTTCGATGCCAATATTGAGACCAGGGTAGCCGATTACTGATAGATACTAAATTAGACACATATATTGCAAAGATGTGATGAATATTATAAACACTGCTATTGTCTGCTATTGTATGTCCAGGTAGATCTGCACTCTGTCTGCAGTGCAGATACAAATAAAATAACATATAAATTAAAGAATTACAGATAATCAAAACATTTAATTTTGTAAAAAAATTAAATGTTAACTCCAATTATAATCATTCTTGTGCAAATCACATAACTTGCCTACTTTGGACCATACTGGCACAATTCCCTGTATACATACATGCTTTTGAATTCTTTGTTTAGATGGGCAGACTGGATTGAGTGTGTGCCTGGTAGTAAATAATGTCCCCAATTGTTTCTTTAACTTGTTTTCACAGGAGGACAAACACAAGAAGGAGAAGGGTGTGTTTGTAGGAGAGAGGGATGACTCCATTCCTCCAGAATACAGGTTCAATGAGGAGGAAAGCAAAAAAAGGCCTGCTCCTAAACCTGAGGTGAGAAAAATGAATGTCTGCAATATATTTTCTTTAATGATAGGTTAACACTCTTTACCTTGGTAGTATTGATAAATCAGACATCTCACGCTTATTTCAACTTATATCTATCTCCCAATATCATACTTTAATCATCTTTTTCCTTGATTTTCCCCTCGTCCTGCAGCCCTCCATCAACACTGGTGATGCTCTGGACTTTTTATCTGGAGACTTTGCGTTCTCCTCATCAGCTCCTGTGGTCCAGGCTCCTGTCATCACCCCCTCAGCCCCCCCTGCACAGGTACACACTGGATCCAGCACTGGTTGATGTAGCTCTAAAGAATACAATGTGATGCAAAGGTACCTCTATGCATTTGAAAAGTCCTATAGAAATTAAACACCCTATATTTTGTCATTCCTTCAGCCCTCTGCAGACTTTGCTCTGGACGCCTTGGCGGAAGAATTTGTTTCCTCCAGGGCTGCTTCGACGGTGAAGTCCTCTGCATGTGCTCCCACAGAATCTTCCGCAGATGTAAACACAGCACGAGTACATCTCAAGCCTTTTTTGGACTCTATTAATCCCTGCAGTAACATGATCGGAATCTTTTTGTCTGTGTTTGTGCCCTCAGCTGGCCGCAGGAGCAGACAATGCCCTGGAGGCCCTGGATGCTCTGGATGCTCTGTCAGACACCTTGAAGGACATCACACCCGTCCCTATGCCCGCCCCAGTTCCTACCAAAGACCTCGTCAATGTAATAATGCCTTCAAGAGCACAGCCAACATGAGAGAGAATGATTTGTTATTTGTCGCCCAGTCACTTTAGCTGTTCTGATTGTAATCTGTATTTCAATTTGTTTTTGCAGGAGGAGAAGCTGAAAGAAGAAAGGCTGATTAAGATGGGGGAGAGAGACGACACGTTGCCACCAGAGTATCGACCCACTGGGGTAAAAAACAGTCTTATATCTCCCTGTGTTTCTGTTGAGTACGGAAGCCCTGAGAGGCCAGTAGGGAAACATGTATTGATCAACTATCCAAGCCTGATAGTTCTTGGTTTGAAAGGTAGTGACTGGCTCTCACACAATATGTGGACTTTGTGTTTAAAATGCATGGAGAAATGAAAACCTAACTTGTAAGAAAACTATGTATTTTTACTATTTGGAACATGGGTAATGTTGCCCTTCAGCCTCTTGTGGTCACAATTGGTACTACAGTAACAAACACTGACAATAATTCAGACACAAAATAACTTTTCTATGACAGGCCATAACTTGTCTACTTGTTTTAACAAATGGAATAAGTAAAATAAGCTAACTTAGAATTTTAAAGCCACAAACATTAGAAAACTATATCGATCAGACTTAAAAAAAAAAAAGTCACCAGAATTTGTTTCATATTGGCATCTGAGGAGTTCTATAGTCATTTTTATGTTGCAATTTCGTACTTCATTTGTTTCTAGCCAAGTGTTGAGTGTTTCGTCCAGACTGAAATATCTAAAGACCTGTATGATTGTTTGCCATTACATTTTCAACAGACATGTGTATCCCAGAAACTAAATCTCCACTTAGTAGAGCCCATCAGCCTGGTTGATTAACAATTTAGGTTTAAGTAAGCAGCTGCTGGAGCATAATTCAAAGTATTAGTGCATGTTTTAGAAATACAGTTTCAACAGTGAAATATTATTTAGTTATAAAATAGAGGATGTAATAAAGAAGAGACATTGTCCCTACCTTAACTACCTGCTTTAAAACAGAGCTATGTGGGTTTGTTGATTTGAATATCTACTTTGATATGCATGATATATGATTTTTACAGCGTGTAGTAATTTTACTATTAGTCTAATGTTTACCAATGTTGTTTTAAAGGATATTGGAAAAGTACCTGCACAACCAAAACCTAAGGGGGTAGGAATGCACACACACACACACACACACACACACACACACACACACACACACACACACACACACACACACACACACACACACACACACACACACACACACACACATCTGTCACGCACACACACCGTCCCTGGCAGGCGTTACCGCAGCATCCTGACTAAAACAACCAGATTCAGTGACAGCTTCATCCCGCAGGCAATAAGACTGTTAAACAACTGAACTGCTGAAACAACTTCATAACATTCATCTGCTACTTAGTAATTATTTATCTATTATCTAATATATCATTCCAATAACTTGTATATAGACTCGTATTGCACTATTCCACTCAACTATTTTTCTTTTTGTATTACTTTTAATATAGTATATTTTAATATTGTCTGCTTATCTGGATTATTGTGTTGCATTGTTGGAGAAGCCTATGACCTAAGATTTTCAACGACATAATTACTCTGTCGCTATGTTAGTTTGACAATAAAGAACCTTGAACACACACAGTCTCAGAATGTGACAGTAGACAATCGAGCACTGTTAAATGGTGTAAAGTTCACTGTGTATAAACCACATGCACTTCCTGTCTCTCTGCAGAAGTCTATGGATGATAAGACAGCATTGGACCTGCTGTCCAGTGACTTCTCTGCTGCTGCCTCTCTACCTGTAGCACCCGTCGCTTCAGGCGCTGCCACAACAAAGCTGGAACCTCCTGTGCTGGACTCAGAGCCCCTGAAGGTATCACGGGAAATACACTGTTATTTATAATATTTACATTTATAGTTCCTCCTTCTATGGAAATCTTAATGTTTGCTATTAAAGTACAATGTGGTGTGCTGTCATATTTCAGTACTGCACCAGACTTTTTGCATTTTCTGCTGTTTTTGGATACAAACTTTATCAATTAAATGTGCTTTTTTGACATGTTACAAAGATAATATTTCCAAAGTGTATAAAGGATTATCAAAAAAATTGAAAAATTCATAAAATCAAGCAATGTAGGGAATAATGTGCAATAGTTGTTCCAGAATGAAATTAGCAATTGAAAATGGCTAGCTGGATTTTAATTTATGCAGAAATCTTAAACAACTGTATTATTAGTTTGGTTTGTTGTGTTTGTTTATCATTTTCCTTATTTATCATTCTTTCCTAGCCAATGGCTGGCGCTGTCCTGGACACCCTGTCCAGCACCCTGCTCCCAGACGCCCCAGAGTTCATACCTAAGTCAGACAAACCCAAGGTAAAATAAGATCTGTGAGAGGTCAGGATGTAAGATCACTCCATCAGATGATTAAGTAAATGTTAGAGACCAAATGTAAAGCTTGACATCTAATGGTATCAATCTGCTTTTGACTAATGGCATTTTATAAGCACTGACGTTGGGCACTTTTAGATTTCACTGTGACACGGCGCCCTCTGTCGGTCATGTAATAGCATTAAACCGTATCAGAGGTCTCCTCCTCATGGAGCTCGAGGAGTGTTGGGCCTAACCAAGGTGTCAACTTTGTTACAGGGCAAGAGCAAGTCAAAGTCAAAGTCCAAAGTAAGCAAACTGCTCGCTGCATGAAGAAAACAATGACGTTCGATTTGCATGATAATGTACAAAGGATTCTGAAAAAATCTCTATCGGTGGATTCCTGCGGAAATCTGCATGTGATGTACTCTCCTGTCTCTTTAGCCGATGTGAATTCGTCAAATAATGTTGTGAAATCTGCATGTGATGTACTCTCCTGTCTCTTTAGCCGATGTGAATTCGTCAAATAATGTTGTGAAATCTGCATGTGATGTACTCTCCTGTCTCTTTAGCCGATGTGAATTCGTCAAATAATGTTGTGAAATCTGCATGCAACGGCGCTGCGTCTTCTCTTCCTTTCTATATTTTGTTGTAAAACGTCAATCTTATATTTCAGAAGCACCATGCAGAGGAGCCTCACTCTGACCAGCTCCCAGCACCGCCAAGCTCTGACGTCGTGCCCAAATCTACAAGGAAGGGAGGCAGGAGCTAGACCACTGGGTAAGGATTGTTCTCATCTTATGCACGATTTCTCCTGATAAAATCTGAGGATAAAGTGCTGACTGCTGAACATGTGTTGCAGGTTGTCAGAGCAATATGACCCCCCGGCCACAGGGACTTCAGTGAGGGAGCTGCTCTCTGGATAATGATTCTATTTTTTCTAAATCGCCTAGAATGTATACTGGATGAAAGACAAACTAAGACACACACACACACACTCACACACTCTGCATGTGGCGCCTCTTTTGCTTGGTTTCACATGTATTTAAGTATGTAAGATGTTGGTTTTCTGTGGAGAATATGAAAAGACTGTTGAAACAAGATGGAGAATAGAAGAATGAGAAAGACAGAGGGGGAAACTGGTGGGAAGGAGAGAGAAAGTCAGGTGATAATCTTTAGTTTTTGTTGGTTGGTGGTTTGAGCGTGCTGATGAGAGGAAGGCGCCTCCTGTCAGAGTCCTGGATGAACATGTCAGCTGACAGTTGTTCACACACTAATATTACAACTGTTGTGATGTTGGTTGGAGCGGAGGGGGGTGTATCGTATCGGGATGTTTGTGCAATCTTGATGTACACAGAAAAGCACATTTTTCTATCATGATCAGATGCCATTAATACACTAGTCACTAATGTACAGCTTAGTTTGCTTTCTATTTTGGACAACACATAGTTTACATATGTGGAGGTTTCCAGGAGCTTAATTATATATCCTAGGGCTTCTCGCAAATACTTTTACATTTCTACAGAGAAATATCTGTTTTAAAAAAAGAAGAAGAAGAAGAAGGGTCTTTTGTATGCATTTGGCCTTGTAGAAAAAATAATTGCTTGTGTCCAGAGGTGCACTTAGTGAACTGAGGTGGCTCCAAGCTTTTTTTAACTGCCTTTGTTTGTATACTGTTAAAAAAAAAAAAGAAACAAAAAAAAGTTTTTGCTCTATTAAAGACAACACTGTAAAAGTTAAAAGGCTTTTAAAATGTAAAGTCCAAAATCAATATACGGCACCCTTGTTTTAATTTTTTCATGGCAAAGGTTTTGTGTGGGTGTGAGTCATAAGATGTGAGATGTATTTTAGATGAGGGAATGCTAATTCAATAAATAAAAATATGTAAAAACGGTGTTGTATAGAGTCTGGTGTGTGAAATAATATGTGAAAAAATACAACAGGACATTTATACGCACTGAACGGGAACCGCATCTCTTATAAAACGATCTTTCTTTACTTTTCTTTGCTCCTGACTTTGTGGTTTTTCACTCTGCATGCACTTCCTTTTGACTCTGAGGGGCTCACAAACAAAAATGATTTGCTCAAACTTCATGTAAAACTTAATATTCATGCCCCAAGACCGTAAATGATAGATGGGGTTGCAAATGTAAAAACAATACATAAAATAATAAACATGAATATAAACACAATTTTGATTGAGTGACAATATATTTTATTTGTACAAAATTTCAAGTTACAACAAATCTAAAAAGTAGGATAATTCACACAAACTGTACATCCAATTAAAAATATATAAATCAAATAGTTTTACTAGGTCTGATAACTCTGAACCCAACGACATTACAAAACATGCTACTTTGAAGGGAAATATTTTACTAAATAAAAATAAAACTCTAAAATGTTCAATAGCAAATTATGTTTATATCTTTAGTTATATATATTTTGTTTTATAAGTAAAGGAAGGTGCCGTTCTACTTAAAAAAAAATAATAATAAAATTGTCACATGGCTATATACAAAAGCAAAATTAATTATATAAAAAACGTCATTTTTAATATTAACATATCTAGGCTTACTTCTAAAATTCTCAGGACTTCAGTGTGTTTTATGATCAATATTCAGATGAATAGACATTTCATTTCAAGTTATTCCAATTAGAGTTCGATCTAAATGTGAAAGCAGTGCATTATTGTCGTTATCAATGCAGGTAAAACTTTAACGATGAAGATATTTGAAAGTATTTATAAACTGAACATTTTCTTTATTAACTATCAAAAACAATGAAAATGTTTAAGCAGAAAAGGAGTGACCATGAATGTGATTAAGCTGAAATAAGACAGTAAAACAACACTATAAAAAAAATGCTGTTGCATCAAACATGACTGTTGGTCATCAGTTGTTTTCCAGGAGCCATCACTCGTCTGTGTGGGATAAACAAGAGGCGCATTCACACTGCGGTACTTTTCCCACAAAGGTTCATGTGAACTTAGTTCATGTGAACTCTTTAAGTACAGATCGCGTTCACACTGGAAAAAGTCCCTGGGGGTGGATTAGGCAAATGAAGCCGCTGACGTCACTTGTTCTTCTGCTTTGGGTTTACTGGCAGGCCGCAAACCCAGAGCCGTATAATAGAAGAGTTACGACAACGGAAGTCCAAAAACGGTTATCGTCACGTGGTTCATGTAGACGAGGATCGTTCCCCGGAAGTTCATGGCGGGCAATGTGAATGCATTGATAACAGGAGATAGAACTACGATTTTTGGTAATTATTAGTGAATAAAGGTTTTGATTTGCAATATTTATACAACAAATCGATATGTGTATCAATATGTTTTAAAAAAATAAAATAGAATTTGCTAATATTAAGTGATAATATTAGGATTAGTGTGAACAACTAGTTTACATGTTAGGCTAACAGTGCCTTGGTTAAAGAGCCTGTTGCTGTTTATTTATAGCTTTGAATTCTTTAAAACCAATATTATCTTCTTAAACTTGTATGGTAGTCAGGAGCATCATTTTCTAATGTTTATTGATATATTTAGAGGGAGGGGATCTAAAGTAATGCTTTAAAATTCAGATTAGAATAATGTCTACTGTTATGGAAATAATTATCATAGACGCCAATTTGTAACATACAGGACAAACCTTGATGTCTGTTTACCTTCTTTAAGGACACAGGCTGCTTAGCCAATAATGTTATTGTTCCCATTCTGTGACCGGTCAATACTGGGTCACAGATGGTCTGTGTTGTGGGTACACTGGGACACTTCCTTCTCTGTATTTGTGGACTCCAAGGTGAAATCTTCGAGGTCATAAGTGTCCGACGCAAGTAGCTCAGTGTTCCCACACTGTTTAGGCTATCTTCTCAAATATGTTGTTTACTCTCTGCGAAACCAGTTAGATGGGCTGGCAAGAGAGAGGCTCTCCAGAATTGACGTGGCAACTCTACCGTGAAGTCAGAACCTCTGACTCTTGGACTTGTGATGTGAATCCTCCGGCCGTTAACTCCAAATAAACCACCAGTGTTTGACATCAAAGCTACTGCTCCTACTGTGTCTCCTTCCTGAGTCGGTGACTCCGGCTGCATAGCTACACAGAAGTTTCCTCAACACTCATCTCCACCGCTCTCATGTTTTCTTTTGTGCTGCCATAAGTTAGTCTCTCTCCGTTTGTGCGCTGGGCTAATGCTAATAATGCTAATGCGAGGAAAATAAAATGGCGGCTTCACAAAACTTTTTTTTTTACGGGGCGTGGTTTGCAATCCGCCCAGCCAATGGGAACATTATTCTCCCACGAAAGTACCTGCACTCTAGCAGGGACTGAAAAGGGGGTGAAAAGGTTCTCATGAACTAAGTTCTAGTTCTGGATTTTTTTGGTGTGAACGCACATTTTCGGAACTATATCGGAACTTTACTGGGAAAAGTACTCCGGTGTGAAAGCGCCTATTGTCCCTACCTTAACTACCTTAAGCTTTAAAACAGAACTCTTTGAGTTTGTTGATTTGAATATCTACTGTGATATGCATGATATATGATTCTTACAGCTTTTAGTAATTTTACTATTAGTCTAATGTTTACCAATGTTGTTTTAAAGGACACACACACACACGCACGCACGCACACACACACACACACGTCACACACACACACACACACACACACACACACACACACACACACACACACACACACACACACACACACACACACACACACCCAGGGGGCAAAGTCATTTTACAGACATGGAATGTTGTAAAAGGTTGTCCACCAGAAATGATATCTAGTACCTTCAAGGATCACAACCTGGGTGGACAACCCGGTCAACTAGCTACTGGAAAGCTACAGTGAGGGTCCAAACAATGCAACCCCTATTATGAAAAAAAGTGACAAATTCTGTCTGGATCAGATGCCATCATTCTCTTTCTGATTGAATATTGCTGTGACAGTTCATGGTAAAGACAAACTGAGCCAACCTATTGAAAGAGCAGAAAATAAGCTTTCAGGTGATGCCTTGGTTAAGCCTGTTCTCAATAAGGTCACTAGATGGCGCTGTGCCTTTTTTGTCTCTCCAAAGCAAAATCCATTTCAAGCAATGCACTTGTGGTCCTCTGGATTGTTTGCTGTGTTAAAAATGGGTAAATATACTCAAAAGATTATTTCTATATAACATATCGAAGGGTTTACATTAATATACACAAGGTTTGCTGCCGATGCTAAGTTGAATTGATTCAATGTTTACATATTTTTCAGTTTACAGTCTGGAAAGCTAAGGCAGGGTAATTCAAAATGGCCGCCACTTTCTTTGCAAAACCCTTTAATTGAAGGTTTTCTATGTTATAGGACAAGGCAAACTGAGTTAAATGTATCTGGAAGTTGACATTAAGTTCAACTTAATGTCAAATCAATACCCTTTTATTATTTGTGCAAATCAATGTCTTTGTTTTTGTGAACAATATCCTATTTTGATCATGAAATAAACAAAATTCCTGGTGGCAAAACATTTATTTCACATACTCTCTTCTTAGTTATTAACTAAAAATCAACAGATATGATCAGAAGTTGAACACAAAACAATCATTCACATGGCCCATAACTAGAAAAATGTGAATTTTTTAAGAAGAAGAGGGAGAAAAGTAACCTACACTGAATATATAGTACAAATGTTTTCAATGTACACATGGTGGTATTCATGGTAGTGTCCCAGAAAGCTTTTTGCTTTCTATTCATTTTCTGAGTCACAGCTGCTGTCACTGCTCTCAAGTGTGGCAGTGTGTATCCTTCTGCATTTTGTTGCCTGTCCTTGGCAACGGCACCCTATGTACAGTAGCATGGAACTGCCTTATTCTGACAGCCACATGAGATTGACTTGTTCATCGACACAGGCCAAGCTGGCTTTGTAGATGGTACCGGAACTATCCATTGTCCAGAGACCATCCAAATTCTGTGCATGGGGAGATTTATGGCTTGGCGATGTGTGCGTTCTTTTCAGGTGCAGCAAAAATGCATTCTCTGTTAGGGGTCGTAGCTTTAGGAGCGTCAATTTGTTGTTCAGGAACTTGATCACAGATCAGAACCCTCAAAGTGATCAGCTTTGGATGTATATACAGTTATGGTGAGGTCTCGTGCCTGATTGAGGAGGTCATCTGTTATAGCATCGGCGGGGTTCTCACCAAACTCTTCAAGTGCAGGTATGTCCAGACTCATGCTGCTCTTGAACCATGCCCTCTTGCCAGTGAAATATGGATAACTAGTGGTATCTCTACCACTCAGACTGTGGATGAAGGGCTTGGCACAACACTGTGAAGGTCCCAGTGCCACAACCATTTCATGTATAGGCAGGTATATGATGTCTGTGTCATTGGCATACGACAACTCTGTCAACTCCCTCATTCTGGACACTGCAGAGAGTGTGGAGGAAGATCCTAGTGTCAGCCTCCTGCTGTGTTGATTCAAGAGCAGGAACATCCATAACAGACCATGCTGTGAGCACCACAGTCTTTGAATCCACCACCCAGGTAGAGATGAGTTGGGCCAAGACCAGGTTCCAGTTGTTCATCCGCACACCACTTCTCACAAAGGAAGCTCAGCAGGTTTGCTTTGTTAGCAGACACTGCAAAAAACTCCTTTGGATCCAGAGCTGTGTACTGCTCACTGACTTCATACACTTTCGCTGGTTTGGATCTGGCATATCTCTGTTCCTGCTCAGCTGACTTGAGGCTGGTTGTACTGTATCTGTCACAACAGAAATGTATGATGTCAGTGCCAGGAGACACATCAATCAGCAGCAGGTGCCTGTATCGCTCAGCGATCACTCCAAATCCTTCACCTGTGTGGAAAGACCAGTGTTGTATGGCGGACATGGCATCTACGACTACTGCTGTCTAGAGGCAGTCTTTGGGCAGATCAGGGATGCTGCTTACTTTGGTTTTCTCTTTCAAGATCTTCACAAGGCTCGCCTTGGTCCCTGTACTCATTCTGCCATCTTCCTGGAAGAGGGATGGGGGAAGGTCACTGCACTCGTGGTTGCCTATGAAGTCAACAATGTTGAGTTCTCCACCACTGGCAATGATCTGCGTCATGCGCAGAAGGGCAGTGACTTCATTGCTCTTGCAAGGTGAAGAGGTTTTCCCAGACTTCTTTGGTTTCATCCTGTTTTGTGTATGGAAGGTGTTTAGCTTTACAACACTTGTCTTCTTCTGGTCACTGGACAGTGACTCTGACAATGCCTTCAAACCATCTGCTTTCACCTTGACTGTGGGATCTGCACACTCACCAGTAGATATATTGATCAGGGATGGTGTGGCTGTCGTGAATGGGTTGGTCTCTACTGCTGCCATGACCTTGACTACCATCTCTGCATCCCTGTTGACACGACTCCAGCCAGATTCATGGTGGGGGCTGGAGGAATGGAGGTGCAGCGTAGACTTGAGCTCTGCAGAGATAGCTGCAGTGAGTGGTTTTGTGTAGACCCACTTCATCCTGGCAGCACGATTGAGTGTAATGCCATCCAGACCACTTGCCTCCTTGGCATCTGCATTATATGTCTGCTCCAGAAGCATGTCAGGAGAGACACCATTGTGGTTGCCATCTGCTCTCCTTCGAACAAATGCACCTGCCATCAGTGCTTCATGTGCCTCAGGGGCTGTCTCTGGCAGTTTCTTCATCTCAGACAAATACAGACGCAAAGACTGCTGCCCATATTTGTAGTGTCCTGCTGCAGTGAGGTAAGGTAGCATCCGTGCTGATTCACAGAGATCTCCTGCCCAGTAACCTTCCCGCTGGTAGTAGATGAACCTGTGGAGAATGTCTGACATCTCCAGAAAGATTGACCAGAAAACTGCAGAGATTCCTGGAAAAGTAACATCTGTTCTTGTAGGATTGATATATGTGGACGTGACATCTGGATGATCACCAACTTCTCAGTAGCAGTGGTGTCTTTCTCAAACAACATCTTCACAACATTTTCTACTTGTGACTGCCAGTGTTGTGTTTCTCTGTCTGCTGCACATCCCTCAAATGCTTGCCAGTACAAGCGCCACATGGCCTCACTGAGGATCCTGAGAGCATGCATGGTTTGGTAGTAGTCAGCCTTCTCACCAAACATCTTCTTGGCAGTCCCTTCCTGAAACAGACCAGCTGCAACAAGAATATCCTCTGCACCTGCATCCCTGATGATTTTGCAAACAGCCTTCATGTGTTAGGGAATAATTCTCCTGGACTCCTAGATATCTATCCTTTTTGCCCTTTGACGTTTATGACCAACCCTGACGTCTGTTATCTCCCTTAAGTAAAGGGGCTGCTTCAGCCATATGTTGTTGTTCCCATTTTATGACCGGGCAACTCTCGGTCACAAATGGTTTATTGTTGTTTGTGGACTCCAAGGTGTGTAATCTTCGAGGCCATAAGTGTCAGAAGCAAGTAATTCAGTGTTCCCAGCTGTTTAGGCTATCTCCTCAAATATGTTGATTACTCTGTGAACCAGTTAAAAGGTCTAGCAAGAGAGAGGCGCTTCAGAATTGACGTGGCAACTCTCCCGTGAAGTCAGAACCTCTGGCTCGTGACTTGTGATGTGAATTCTCTGGCCGAAGATCCTAATAAACCATCAGTGTTTGACATCAAAGCTCCTGCTCTCCCCGTGTCTCCTTCATGAGTCGGTGACTCCCACTGCATTGCTACACAGAAGTTTCCCCCACATCATGTAGTTATGAGCTTGGTGAAATCCCCCCAGCAGCAGGACTACATTGCAGAACTCATCTCTGTGCTTGTCTCTGATGGCAACTGCGAGTTCATATGTAGCCTGATCTCCAATGATAATGGTATACTTGTCTCCCAGTGCATGCGATGTCTTGATCAGCCGTTTCATTTCTTCTTTCAGGACAGCAGGATCAGTTAGAGATGCTGGGATGAGAGGAAGATAGCCAATGATACTGGCCGGTCTGTGTGGGTGGAGGTCTGCACAGAAGGCAGAAAAGCCAGGCAGTCCTGCTTCTGCATCTGGAGGAGCATCCAGCAATTCTGAAGTTGTAACCATTCTTGCAAGATGCCACATAAGTAACAGGTCTTCAGCTGTGCCATCTGAGGAAGTATCCAGACTCTCTAGCTTCTCAATATGCTCAAGTGACCTGGACCTCTGCCTGTCTTTAGCTGAGACGTGTCACATGGGAGCAGGTAGGTCAGTAACATCTGAGAGAGTCTTCTTTCTGTCCGAGGTAGAAGTGGGGAGTCTGGCACCCTCCTGGACCCGCACAATCTTTTGGTTTTCAATTATAATTGCAGTGGTGGCATTCAAACTCCCACCCTCCAGTGTCTTCTTCTTCCAGTCCAGATTGTCCATGGCAAACACATGGGGGATCTCGCTGTTTTTCATCATGGTTTCTGGGATGGAAACACCATCCGTTTCAACCTGCTGCATGACCTTCTAACTTTGTGCTGTTAGCTATTTTGTTTTCAACTTCTGATCATATCTGTTTATTTGTAGTTAATAACTAAGAAGAGAGTATATGAAATAAATGTTTTGCCACCAGGAATTTTGTTTATTTCATGATCAAAATAGGATATTTTTCACAAAAACAAAGACATTGATTTGCACAAATAATAAAAGGGTATTGATTTGACATTAAGTTGAACTTAATGTCAACTTCCAGATAAATTTAACTCAGTTTGCCTTGTCCTATAACATAGAAAACCTTCAATTAAAGGGTTTTGCAAAGAAAGTGGCGGCCATTTTGAATTACGCTGCCTTTAGCTTTCCAGACTGTAAACTGAAAAATATATAAACATTGAATCAATTCAACTTAGCATCGGCAGCAAACCTTGTGTATATTAATGTAAACCCTTCAATATGTTATATAGAAATAATCTTTTAAGTATATTTACCCATTTTTAACACAGCAAACAATCCAGAGGACCACAAGTGCATTGCTTGAAATGGATTTGCTTTGGAGAGACAAAAAAGGCACAGCGCCATCTAGTGACCTTATTGAGAACAGGCTTAACCAAGGCATCACCTGAAAGCTTATTTTCTGCTCTTTCAATAGGTTGGCTCAGTTTGTCTTTACCATGAACTGTCACAGAGATATTCAATCAGAAAGAGAATGATGGCATCTGATCCAGACAGAATTTGTGACTTTTTTTCATATAGGGGTTGCATTGTTTGGACCCTCACTGTAGCTTTCCAGTAGCTAGTTGACCGGGTTGTCCACCCAGGTTGTGATCCTTGAAGGTCCTAGATATCATTTCTGGTGGACAACCTTTTACAACATTCCATGTCTGATTTCCTAAAAAATTGGGTTTTGCCCCCTGGGTACTGTGTATAAACCACATGCACTTCCTGTCTCTCTGCAGAAGTCTATGGATGATAAGACAGCGTTGGACCTGCTGTCCAGTGACTTCTCTGCTGCTGCCTCTCTACCTGTAGCACCCGTCGCTTCAGACACTGCCACAACAACGCTGGAACCTCCTGTGCTGGACTCAGAGCCCCTGAAGGTAGCACGGGAAATACACTGTTATTTATAATATTAACATTTATAGTTCCTCCTTCTGTGGAAATCTTAATGTTTGCTATTAAAGTGCAATGTGGTGTTCTGTCATATTTCAGTACTATGCTCTATTAAAGACAACACTGTATCATTTTTAAAGGCTTTTAAAATGTAAAGTCCAAAATCAATATACGGCACCCTTGTTTTAATTGTTCATGTCAAAGGTTTTGTGTGGGTGTGAGTCAAAAGATGTGAGATGTATTTTAGATGAGGGAATGCTAATTAAAAAAATTAAAAAATATAAAAACGGTGTTGTATGTAGAGTCTGGTGTGTGTGTGTGTGTGTGTGTGTGTGTGTGTATGTAGTCTGGTGTGTGTGTGTATGTAGTCTGGTGTGTGTGTGTGTGTGACGTGTGTATGTGTGTGTGTGTCGAAAGAGAGAAACAGAAACTAACATGAACCGCTTTAATATGTGAAAAAATACAACAGGACATTTATACGCACTGAATGGGAACCGAATCTCCTATAACACGATCTTTCTTTACTTTTCTTTGCTCCTGACTTTGTGGTTTTTCACTCTGCATGCAGACTTAGCAGCCCACTTCCTTTTTACTCCGAGGGGCTCACAAATAAAAGAGCGTTTCCTCAAAATTCATGTAAACTTCATATTTCTGCGCCAAGACCAAGATGATAAATTGGTATGCAAATGAGTGAGTTTGATGTGAAAAAATACATAAAATAATAAACAATATGTTGTTTTTGATTGAGTGACAATATATTTTTATTTGAATTTCAAGTTACAACAAATCTAAAAAGTAGGATAATTCACAAAAACTGTACATCCAATTAAAACATTTAAATGGATAAGTGTTACTATCTGGGTCTGATAACTCTGAACTCAACGACATTTAACTAAATAAAAATAAGACTCTAAAATGTTCAATAGAAAATTCTGTTTATATCTTTAGTTATATATATTTTATTTTATAAGTAAAGGAAGGTGCCGTTCTACTTTTTTTTTTAAATCATGAGGGTACAGTACAAGTCAACAGTTTTCCGATGAAATTGTCACATGGCTATATACAAAAGCAAAATTAATTATATAAAAAATGTCATAATCTTTAATATAAACATATCTAGGCTTACTTCAAAAATTCTCAGGACTTCAGTATGTTTTTATGATCAATATTCGGATGAATAGACATTTCATTTCAAGTTATTCCAATTAGAGTTCGATCTACTGTAAATGTGAAAGCAGTAATTATTGTCGTTATCAATGCAGGTAAAACTTTGACGATAAAGATATTTGAAGTATTTATAAACTGAGCATTTTCTTTATTAACTATCAAAAACAATGAAAATGTTTGAGCAGAAAAACAGTGACCATGAATGTGATTAAGCTGAAATAAAACAGTAAAACAACAATATAAAAAAAATGCTGTTGGATTAAATGAAAAATAATTGTCACCATTTGGTTCAAACATGACTGTTGGTCATCAGTTGTTTTCCAGGAGCCATCACCGGTCTGTGTGGGATAAACAAGGTATTTACATATTTAATAATAACACAAATAATAACTTAATACTAATGCAGTTACTTTGGTGTGAATAAATTAAATCGAAAAGGATTGCAGGGCCGTAGATATATTTAAAAACACAGAGGTTATGCCCTCGTTTCGAAACGTGACACTGCCTTTAAAAAAAATATAAGAATTCTCTTTTCTCCAAAAATAATCATGGGATTAGTAAACGGTATTTATCAACACTATTTTAGGGGTGTAACAGTTTCTTATAGTGTCCCGAAAAAAAAATCTGCTTAGAATTTGTTACTTATTACGGGAAAATGGAGACGAAGTTCAGACAGGAAATTAAGTTAGAGTTTGGTATGTAACGTTTATGAGCAATTTTAGATTTAAAGAGAAGTTTCATTAAAAGAACATTTCAGATTAATTTAAAATATGCTAAATATAATATTAAACAGCCAAATAAATACAGAAATATATATACTTTTTAAACCAACACATACAACACTTTCGTTTTGGTGTCAGGGTTGGGGTGGCTTTAGTATTTCTAATTGGAAAGACACTGTTGGATAAATAGAAAACTACTTACTTTCTTTTGTAATGGTGTGGGCATCTCCGTGTCCTTACGTCTACATGACATCAAGAATTGTCAGACATTTTACAAATCTTTATAAACATCAAAATCAAGAAAAGCAGAAAACAAATCTTGGGGAACATTTGCAGAATTTTATAATTGTTATCAAAGCATATTCAGGGTTTTTATCATGGGCTTTAGATATGAGATGAACTTACGGTTGCAGTACACGGTGGTGATGATGAGGAGTAGAAGAAGGAGGCCACAGCCGCCAGCCAGTGGGCCCAGAATGATTAGAGAGCAAAACATCTCAGGTCTGGTTTCCCCTGCAATCCATTTGCCACCAGCATCAAACACAGTGAAGATAATAAAAGCTCAGAGAAACAGAGGTATGAAACTGAGGTATGGAAATGTACCTGGCTTGTTACCGCTCTCACAAACACACGGCGAGGCAGTCGTGCATTTTGTTTGCTCAGTGGCCTGCGAGGTTACTTCTACTGGGACTTTAACTTTTTCTAAAGGGAGAGGAGAGATGTGTGAAGGAGATAACAGAAGTGATGGAAGGTGATACTGAAAAGAAACCATTATATCACCATTAGCCCAAAAGCATGAGAGAACACCTCACCTAGGAACAGTCGTGTTGGGTTTCCGAATACCAGTTCATTGCCTTTGAGCGCCGCACAGCTGTAAACGCCGCTGTCCCGAATTTGGTTGAAAGACTGCAGTGTTAAAGAAATTGGCGAAACCTTGGAGGGCTTGAATAATTCGGAAATGGAGTTTCCAGTGGACTTTGGCATGCCGTTATTGGTGAAAGATGCAATGAACTCCATGCCAGTTGTGTCCAGATGTCGAAACCAGACGACCATGGTGCCCTTGTCCCTAGGATCACAATTTATTTGAACCGGCTTTCCTTCCTTCACTGCTATGTCTATGATAGCTCCTGAAGTCATTTCTGGAAAATATGAAACAAAGGGAGCAGTTATCAGCCAACTGTGTGTTTTCAAGACCCCAAAAGCGAAAGATGATAAGAAACAGGCTAAAGGACACCTTAAAGCTGCCAAAAGTTCATGAAAATAATTTAAATATTCAGGTTGAACCTACCATGACAAATCATCAGAATCACCAGAATCAACTTTTGGTCCATTTTTTTTTTGTCGCAGACAACAATAGCACGTCTTTGTGGTGTTTGTTGGAGCCTGTTGTGAGATAATTCAGCGAGATATCAAACCACGCCCCAGCTGTAACCTTCTTCTCGGCTCTGTCAAATGGGATCATTGCAACAGAGCGGTGCAGAGCCCTCTGCACGGTCGTGGTCTGCAGGGTGTTTTGAAGTGCAGCCCACCGATCTGCTCACTGCTGTGAACAGCACCTTGTCATCTATAGGATGCTGACACACAAACTCAACACAACACACTATGTAGGCTGGGAAGAAAGCGTTACAAGAATTTATGTAGCAGCCCACTTTTTCATATTCACTACTGTGTCACGAATCAAATGGTGATTTTCAAGAGGTATCCATTTAATCCTTTTACACAATTTAGGCAAAAATATTTAATGCTGAAGTGTCCTTGTGCGTTAGGAGTTTCACCTCCTGATTTTGATCAGAAATGGGGAAGATGAAAGGATTGATAATGCTTAGTTCCCAAAATAACCAATTTGTTGAACGTCCTCTGTAAATGTCTTCTCGCAATAACATAATGTAATAGAGCTGAACGGATTGAAAAGACAATCATAGGGACATCACTGTGTCAGAGGGATCTAAAAATACCACAAGGTACACACATCTTAATATTGAACGAGAAAAGTGCACTCAGAAGAGGTCAGATCTCAGTCTATCTTGTCTATCATG